ATTTAACTTTCTATCTCAACTTTAAACTTATCTTGTTAAATTTTTTTCTTTGTAAGCTTTTAACTCAACTGAAGGAAATTTAATTGAATTAACTTAACTCGCCACACTTAATTATTTTCACTAACTTGCTCACCATTGTCAATCACAACGTTCCATGCATTAGCATTGTTAGACATTATCACAGTCCGGTGTAGTTGTTAATATTATGGTAGGTACCAAACAAAACACTAATTTATCATAGCGTGTTCCAGGAACACTGTTCCCATTATAATAGTATATAAAACAGTAATGTATTGTTTAGCTTAAAAAATTATAATATTTACAATTTTCGGACAATTTATTATGAACAAACATTAAGACAACTACACATGATTTAAAAATGTAATTAAATTCCAATATTTTACGCTTTTATTAAAACAAAATCGATATTTGCATTTGAATTACCACATCATGTACCGATGCAATAGCTTTCCAATCGTTAATATTGTACCTATTGTGTTTATATCGTGTTCACCATTTCTATACAAAACGACCCTACTATTGCACGGAGGACAATGTACAAATTACCTATGTGCGCCCCAGTATCACATGAAAACTAGACACATGTCAACATGGGCGTTTGCAGTTGTTTACTTGCAAATATCCCCTAATTTGGTACATTTTATCGGGTTAGTTTCGAGGTCGAATTCAATCAGTCAACTGGAAAATACGATGGGTGAGCTCAAAAACTCGCAGAAAAAATATTTTATGAGCAATTTGTCGATTCCGTTCATCTGCAGCATTGTTAAACCTCATCACAGTTTGGACAAGTTGCAGTTTATTATATATGATGGTTATTTACCTGAACTCTAATTTATCATCGCGTGATACCTGCAATAATAGAATAGTATAATTATCAAGGCTGGGCAAGTCAATGTTTTTTTTTTAACTCGTTAAGTTAAAAGTTAACTTTGAAAAAAAAGTACCTTAACTTAGTGTTAAGTTAAAATTTAATAATTTGCAAAAATAAAAAATTCCAGACACATAATATGGTTTATTAGATAGTTTTTCTTTACGTCCAAGAAAATTACTGGGGAAATTTAAAATGATAAATCAAAGTAAAAACACGTTAATTAAATAATTTACATCAATAATTTGCATTATTCTTCGGAAGAAAATGAACTTAATTTAGATATTTTTGAAATAAAATTAACTTGAAGTTACCACGTTTTGCAGTCATTTCGAAGACTAACTATGAGTACCTACTACCTATACTAGTTGTGTTTAACACTCGAAAACAATTGTATTGGTTTCTAGTACAAGTGTACAACTCAATACATCTCCGATGAAACAATATATATTGTGCATATTGCACGTGGAAACTTTTAATTTTAGACACATGAAAATGTACATTTTCTACTCTGCCGTATATCTGCCGTAAGAGTGACACGTGCTCAAACCTACTACGACTTAACTTCGCACGCTCTATAATGTATATAAAAATAAGACTGTTTCTAAAATAAATCGGATTAGCGCTTTTAGATTTGTTGAGGTGCGATGGGACGCGTCCGACTTGTCAGTCCATTCCGATCGGATTGAATCAGAATCACTATCAGTGTTAAATTCATATAAGTATTACCCTCATTAGCAGCAGCACCCTGCAGCAGGTATATCCGAGCACCCTTCATTTTTTAAAAGGTAAGAACGTATAGCATAATATACTGAAATAATATCGAAAAGCAGTTTAGCAATTTTATTGACTTTAAATTCAACACATAAAATAATATCGGACCCGGACCGTGCGACACGTCGACGACACGCGTACACCCGTCGCATCTTTATCCTCTTGCCGAGCTACACGACAACAGCGACAACTGTCCATGTCCATGTCAATGGTGTTATAAGTAGTAACATTATTTTTAGTGTCAGCATATCAATTGATATTTCTTCGGTAGGTCAATCTCATAACAACTATTGTTTGTTAAAATATGTTCCCACCTGTATTAATATTATCCGTTAAATAATGATTAAATCCATTAATTAATATATCAACGACTACAGTCTACAATATATACATACGACAGAATGTACATGGCGTGATAAATAATATAAGAACAATTTTTTTTAGGAATGGTAATTTATTGATACTATCGAGAGCGCTTCTGGCGGGATCTGTCGCTGGTGCTTTCGGTGTATTTTATTCATTTCTGATTTTGCAATGGAAGGAGTTTCGAGCTGGTTTCAAACTTATCTTGAGAATTTACGAGAACTGTAGATAACATAAATGCGACAAAAAAATTTGAAATATGTTAATTTTTACTAGGAAAAAGGGATGGAAATACGTTCTGGTGACTTCCGTGTAATTTAGATTTCAAAGGTTAAGGTTGTGCGAATTTCAAAACTTGGCTTGGAAATTCATGCAAACAGCGTCCTAAATATTAAAAATAAAATTTTAAAAATGTAAATTATTTTTCTCGCGAAACCTGCTGAGGGCTCTATCCGTGTATTTTATGAATTTTTAATTTTTCGGGGAAAGGAGTTCCGAAAATATTCCCTAGTCTTACTAAATTAAAATAATATCTACCTTTAAAATATTATATTAAAAGTTATTAAACAAATCAAAAAAAATCTCGTTGGTTACAATCAGTGTGTGTTCTTTTTCCTCGTATTTGCAATTGTTAATTTTTGTTGTTTAAATTAAATTAAAAAATTGTAATTTTATCTGTAGAATGTAAAAAAGAAAAAATTTAATTTTAAGTCGTGCCTATTATGATAATATGGAAAATTAACTTTTTTTTTGTATTGGTCTAAAGCCCGGAAACCGGCCATTAGCAATTGTAGGGGTTACGGTTGTAATGGTCGGTTGGCAACACGTGTATGTGTGGCAAGGTTTTTTCCCCATGGACCCGGATGGTCACCCATCCGGGAACTAGTGGCAACGGTCGTTGGTTACTCTCAATCACGTTGAGTGATTGATTTCAGCCACTGCTCCGCGCCGACCCACAAATTAACTTAATTTATAATATGAATCAGAGTTGTAATCATAATTATATTTAATTCATATATACTATTATAGTATAGTTTATTTAATTTCCACCTTATTAACAAGTATAATAGAAAATAAACAATAAAGAAAATTGTATGTCTTATATATACATTACCATTCACTCGACAAGTCGAGGCTTGAGTTTAAATTGTTATTATGTGTAGTGTATACACTGTACAACATTATAGGAGTGTTCAGACTTTGGTGGCCGAGGGGCACAACAAATTTAAATTGTGAGACCAATTTTTTTTTTAGACATGAAGACACATTCATTTTTTATCATACAAAATTCACAACTGTAGGAATATTTTTTAATTATGATCAAAAAGTATAACCATCGTCAAAACAATAAAAATACATTTAAAACTAAATTAAAAACTGATACATATTGAAGTAAATTGTTGATAAAAATAAAGTGTTTATATTACCTGTTAGGTATAATATTACAGGGTGTTACCATTGGGTATCCTCCCTAATCGCACGATTCATGTTAAGGGGCCGCCACACCAACATTTGTTTTCCCTGTCTTTCTCACGCATAATATAGGAACATAGATATTCTTTATTTCCACGATGACTGTTCTCTGGTTCAGTTTAAGGCACATTCACCTATTATATATTTGATAAAGAAGAATATTTTCTGTGCTTTGGCCGGATAGTTTTTTAATATTTTCATTAGTTATAAATATAAACGTGTTTTAATTTAACTTAATTTCGATTATTTTTAACCATTAATAACTCATTCGATAATGAAAATTTTAAAGAACTATCAGGCCAAAGCACAGAAATTATTCTTCTTTATCAAATATATTATAATAGGTGAATTTGCCTTAAACTGAACCAGAGAACCTAAACACGCCTATGCTGTACAATATCAAAATATCTGTACAATATAAAATATAAGTAGATTAAATTAAAACATATCGAAAACCATAAAAATTTAAAACAACACATCAAACTAAAATCAAAGTCATTGTCTGTGTCAGACAGTGGCTGTATTCACTTTGTTATTTTTTTTTAAATATATCGCATAATTGCTAATAATTATACATATTCTAAATCAACCGACCTATTGGATTGAAAAGTTTGGAAACCGTTTAAGTCGGTTTTTGCCGTTTTCAAAACGTACACTCTCAAAACAACAATATAATACTGTTAGGTACAGTAGGTAGTGCTATAAACTCGTCCGATTTACGTGGTAATGTGGTATTTATTTTGCGGTGTACGACTCACATTTTCGCCAAATCCAATACCCAACGCGCAGTTCCTTTCTTCTCTTGTGTTCGCAATGAGATCACATAGCATCTACGATGTATAGTCACCGAGGAAATACGTTTGCAGTTATTTCTGGCGATGTCGACCCAGTGGTTTATTTTTTTTTTTGTTCGGTTCTTACACGACGAAATAATTCGGTGATCACCGCAACAATATCGGACCGGAAAACCACGCCGCGAGTGCCGATTTATTATTTTCATAAACGCGCAGTATCATTATCGTCCGATACAAAGAAAATCGAGACGCGCGCCGAGTCGCGCATAATAGCAACCCTGAAGCCTAAAAATAACAAAAGCTAAACATAACTGCAGCACGGTCGAGGTGAACGACAACGCGACGATGACGCATAATATTATATTATATAGGTACGAAATCTTACGCGTAGTGGCGACCGCGATCGGCCGCACGTCGTCATAAACCGAACGGCCGCCGTACAGTCCGGTCGGTGCCGTCGCCGTCAGCTGTTTGTTTTCGCCACACTGTCGTCGACCAGAGCGTATATCATATTTTCCAGTCCCGAGTACTGTATTTGGATTTTCGAATTTCCCCGACCGAGTCTGCTACGAATTTTTTTCCCCGCGAAAATAGTTTGTGTTTTTTCCCCGCCCTCGACCGCGGATCGTCGTACGACAATATTGCAGTGAATTGTAACATCGAATAATATTACAGAGTATAGTTTGATTGCGGTAAACAGCCACATCATGAGACCGCCGATCGAAGAGGAAATCGAAGCCGCCGAGGTGGAAGTGGACGACGGCCAGCAGACCGCGGTCATGTTGGTGTCCACCAGACTGGCGGGCAACGCGGTTATCCGGGTGGTGAACCGGTGCAACGAGGCGCAGGAGAACCACAACCTGGGTAAGCGCCGAGGTCTGGGACACGTGGTGGATACCTGTAGAAAAGGGGTAGTCCGCTCCTGCGGGGGTAACCACGGGGTTTCAGCGGTTGGGTATACTATATGATACCAAGACGTTGGACTTTGGTAACCGCATGGTTCCTTTGATCGGTGTTTCCATGTGAGTTGCGGACGAAATCTAAAAAGGTCACAAACGAATTGCGGACACAAATATAAGATACTCATTGCGGATAATGTTACAATATTCACGTGGTGAAATCAGTAGAATATCATATATACAGGCTGTTTTAAAAAGTATGACGATAATCTATAAATATTTTATAAACAATTTTTTCCACAAGATTAAAACAATCAATAGTTCAACAACATTTTAAAAATAACGATTGCTCTTTTGCAAGACACAAATATTTTTAACCGCACCTACCAATTTTTTTTTTAGCTATTGTCGTAAGTCCTGAAAAAGCGGTGAAGGGAAATATTTGTGTCCACAACTAACGTAGTTTTTATAAAAAAAAAAGCTCTGTACGCAATTAGTGTTATGACAACGAAACTCGTGTCCGCAATTGTTGTATTTTAATTCCTAACCTGAATATTTCGTCCACAACTATTTTTTTTTTTTTATAGTACGTGTCCCCTTTAATATGTTGCGCTAATATCTTTTGGAGGAACTGTGTGTGTATCATACGGAGTGTTCAAATAAAAATTAAAAAACGCGTCGATGGGCCACAGAATTGACTGATCATTTATCCAGTTCCATTCCAGTTGTGTAATATATTATGAATTAGGTGTGAATTAAGCTGTCGTTACAATCAGACTCAAAAAAATAAATAGCTGAAGCCTATCGACGAAAAGTGTAAATGTAGATTAAACGTAGATTTAGTCACTCGAAACGATTGATATTTTTTTCACCAAACGTATGCGGAAAAACGTGCAACAGCTGACCGCTGACGAATTTTTTGTTTATTTCATAGCTTCCGGTTCGTAGGTAAATGTAAACGAAAATAGACACTCCTTACCTAAATCAAAAATGTCTGTAATATGGATATTGTGGCTGGAAACAGATACTCCTGCTGCTTACCTAAATCAAATATTTCTATAATATGGTTATATTTATGTACATACGACTTTTAACGATATATTATATATTTATATTGTGTAACGTGTTATTTGACTATCATCCTTTAATTATTTTTTGTGCATATCAAACATCGTTACATCGTATGTACTCTCGACAAATTAATTTTTTGAATTTATAATATAATAATATTACGCATATTCGCCTCTGTATGTGCTAGTTTCCTCGCTTTCACATATTATTCGATCTATTTTTTTTTATAATTATTTTTTTTTCTTATAATATTACGCCGTTATATCAACGCTAAAATCGTTGCCTATTTTTTTTTTTTTTTTTTTTTTTTTTTTTTGTTATTACCACAACGAAAGAAAGTGTTTTCGATGCCCTCGTGATAAATACTCTATTGTTAACAACAAACCCAGAATCGTTGTGAACTCGACACATATTATTATGTAAAATAAAAAACGCAGTTTTTCAATTTAGTAATATCTTACTGGTGAAGTGTAATTCGAATTTTATGAGAATTGTCTTATTAATATTGGTCATAAATTATTTATTATGCAATCTTATGAAAAAAAAAAACATTTATTACATTATAGTCTCGATCCTGCCTTTAATAATATTCTCTGAAGTACATTATGTTTTATTGTAATAATGATATTTCTATAAATATATCCATTTTGTACGGCGTAAAAACTTTAATACATAAACAGATCTGAGATCTGACCATGACAATTTACGCGTTTCCGCAAACGCAACTGCACAACTTTTACGACATTTGTGATAAATTATCGTCGCAGCGTATTATAAACCGAAAACTTGTGATACAAAATATTCGAATCGTATTTGATTTATTTGAAAGAAAAAAATAACGCTAAAATAATTTTTGTGAAATATTTTTAAAATCGAGTCTATAAATAGACGTAGTAATAACAATAATAATATACGAGTCTATAAATCAAATCAATCCGCCGTCGCAGAGCAGAAACAATAATTATTACTAAATTTCAAAATAATTTCCAACGACTCTGAGTAAACAAAACGAATTAGGTAATAATATTGTTGGCAAAACAAACGCGGTGCAGAATTTATCTCTGTTCCTGCAGCCTATTCACAATAGTCTCTATATTATCGCATATATGTTTCAATCACGAATCTCACAAACACATCGATGACGGTGCAGACGATGATGTGTGTAAATAGATACACACACACATTGTTAGAGATTGTCATTCCGGTTTCGAGTCAAATGATATTATGCACCCATATATGGGTGATGGCCATCGGAACAGACCGTAGCGCGGAAAGATAGGTATAGTATTGCCGCCATGGTAAATATGATAATTATTGTAACCGCGACCTCGAACAGTCTACATCTGGACTTCCTGCAAGCATAATATCGCGTCTGACGATTGCAGATATTATATACATACGTATAGTATTTTATATATTATATATCGTATACGTATATAGGTATATCTATACTGGAGTAGTGATAAGTGTGCACACATTGTATATACGATTCGTGACGGACCTCGAAAAGGCCGTGTCACGCCGATGAAAAGTCTTAAAACGTCTTACTATACGTCACGATAATATTATTTTCATTTTGTTTTCCAGATTTGTCCGAATGTCAGCTGATGCAGATCCCCGACGCGATTTACCTGCTCATGCAAAACACGCAACTTGTCACGTGCGATCTGTCGAACAATGTGATTTCAAAACTACCTGTGAAGTTTACCGAACGATTTCCGACCATCACAGGCGAGTTTATTATGCGACTCTCAGGTCGACAAACGAATATTATACTTTGCCCAATTTTGCCTATCAATAAGCATTAATTGGACGGTTTCTAAAGGGCTCAAGTCAATTTTGGACATTTTCGGTTTATACATTATACCTAGTTCTGTGTGAAATTTCAAGCCCAGTCGAATGGTAGGTACCACTGTAGATGCCATGCGGGATTTGGTTCGAAATAGAATGCGTTTGGTAATAAGTCGTTATACGGAATTTTTTTTTTATGAGAAAAGGCCCAAGTCACTTATCATAACTTATTCTAATGACAAAGGGCATAAGTCTTATAAAATTAAGTGCAATAGGTCTTAAGTCATGATGCGAAAGGGCTCAAGTCAAACAGGTATATATATGCAATAGGTCATAACTTATGAATAAAAGAGCTTAAAATCATTGGATCTTTATAGTTTTGATCTAGTTGAACCACTTCCGCTTCCCCTATTAATACTTTATTAATGTTACGTAATGCTGTTAGGCCTTTGTTTTTGGAAAAAATATCATTTAATTTTGTTTTTAATGTTGCCCCTTTTGGTCCAGGAATAATGTTTATTTTTTCTTCTAATTCACTTATCAAACAAAAACTCTCAGATAAAAGCATATTTTGAGTTTCAAGTTTTTTAATTATTTCAACTAAAAATGACAAATGAGTTGATATAAATGTTAATTCATTCACAGTCGATCTATCTTTAATAATATCGAGTACTTTTTTAATGCATTGTGCATCGTCTTCTGCGAGCTTTTCAATTACCTTTTGGTATTTTATAAAATATTTCGAGTAATATAAAGCAACAGCTATCCATGTACCCCACCTTGTTATTACTGGGGCCGGAGGTAAAGGTATATTTTCTGTGTCTCTACTTCGACATCCTACCGACCAAAATTTTTTTGTGACAGCGCATTCATTGAAATATGCAACGAATATGCATTTATAGCAAAATATGCATTTACGGTCAAATATGCAAAAATATGCAAAATAAAAATTTAGCAATGGATTCCAATTAGTATGATTCGTAAAGATTATTGACAAAAATTTAAAAAAGTGAAAAGGAAAAAAATATGCAAAAACATACAAATCCGGGCTCTAGTCATAAGTAATTATAATTTGAAGAAAATAAATAAATACTAAAATATATTTAATAGTAAAATAACAAAACACTTATACATGTATAAACACCTATATATTAAACATGATTATGAATAAAAAATTTACAAAGTTATAATGTTTTTTGTGTCTCTTGAAAAGTACCGATTTTTGACTTGAGCCGTTTCTCTTAAAAACCGTCCAATTATGTCAGACGTATACAGTACCTACGCGATTAATTTAAATGCGTTGGATTAAGGTATTATTATTATTATTTGATTATGTGTAGTGCATACGTGCCCAGCTGCACGTCGCATGTGCAATGCGATGCCAAACAAAACAATAATAATAATATTCGTAAGGAATATTCGTAATTCAGACCGCAAACTATAATAATTTGGCGATGCATAATTTCATTTTACTCTTTGAACTCGGATGTGTTTTTGCGGTTCAGCGGCGACAACAGCTGATGTATATATAGTTTTGCGAAAGAGCGTTTGTGCCGACAGATAAAATATGTGTTCCGACCAAATAGTTTCGTACGATAGGGGACAAAAAAAATATGCAAAACAATAGTGAAATAACAACGGTGATATTGTTGTAAAGACGCAGCGTGCTCAGGTCGGCCATATTATATTATATATTCATATAGGTATATAAAAATAAACTTTTATTAATGCATCCATAAAAGCCGGATATAACAAAAAAGTTTTCATAAGTAACGCATATTTTCGCTTAAATCCCTCTAAACCGTTCTGGGTCATTTTTTTTATTTTTTTACAGTAATAGCGAATAAGAATACGTCGGTTATACGTATGATAATGAATTATTTTTTCAGAGTCCTATCAATTAGTGGGTCAAACCCTATTACGCCCACTCGAAAAACTATAAGAGGGATTTGAATTTATTATTTGTTGTAGATCTCCGTGGGGAGGTCGCTATATTGTTTGATGCTCAGCCGGAGTACCTAATGAGGGGCGATGGTCGAAACCCCTCCCCTCCCCCCTTTCGCCACTCGAGTGGGGCAGTCGTAAATTTGCTCGCATTTATAATGATAATGATAATATGTTAGTAATAATAAAATAACAATTAATACTATACAAGTACTAAAAAAAAAAAAAAAAAACTCGTGACCCGATCGATTTTCAGTTATGCCACTTCAGTAGATGTGCTCGCCATAGGTATCTATAATGTGATATTATTTATACAACTAGTCGTATAGGTCCCGATTATAGTATTCTTATTGACACGTAAATAGAAAAAGATTGACATTTAAAGTTTAAATTGCCAGCTGCATCAACTTGTGTATAATATGTGCACCTGCGGTTACCGAGTGAGTATAAAAAACCGACGATGACATTTTCAACGATTTTTACCTGCACGTTAGTAACATAACTGAGTGGTTATAATATCATAATACATACACAGAACCTATAAATGTGATTAAACTGTTTATTTTTTACTTCAATGTGGGCATATAGAGTAACATGATACATCGTATTTGGCCACATTATTATCGGGTGTATTATATGGCATAGGTAATTAGGAAATTGTTAGTTGTTACCCGATACATTAACACTACATCAACAAGTTGATGCCAAATAAAACGATAATTCATCAACTTTTCCTGGCATTTTATATCGTTTACAAGAACATAGTATAGACATAGGTAGGTAGGTAATAGTATTATATAATATTGTGTAAAATATATATTTTAAAGGTCGTAAGTGGTACCTATATATAAATATTATACAACCATACAGGGTGATTCATCAATCACGCGTGGTAGTCGGAAAATGTTAGTTAGATCATTAACATAAGCTTTTCCTTTTAAACATTATAGTCACTTCCATAGATCCATATTACTTTATAGGTTTAAAAACATAAATACAATTTTAATCAATGCCTATTTATTGTATTATTATATTATAAATTATACCTATTTGAATTCGTAATTATCCAAACTTTAATTTAGCCCCCCTCCCCACTATACTCAAAATACGTCACTTCGACAGTGGAGTACCCATTTATAGGGTTGCTAAGGGGACTGCGTTCCTCCCCCTAAATATCTGAAACCATTTAAATTAAATAAGACGTGTTTGCTATAAATTGCTAATACAATAATTGTTATTTATGTTATCTGTTACCATTGTTTTTTTTTAGAAATATGCACCAAAATCTTGCCCAATTAATAGACCATAATTATTATACCTAATGGTCTAATTCGGTACCTAACTAATTACTGTAAAATTGCATACAGTTACAATGCGTATCGATGAGGCTTAACTGTTAATAGGAACACAGCTCTAATGTATTCAACTCACACATTGGTAACTCGTAAGCAATATTTTAGACAATAATAAAAAAAGATTTATATTTGTGTGACATCAATTTAGGATTCAGAGTGTTGTATCATTCGTGCAGTGCTATTTTTTTCTTTACATTAAATTTTCAGTTTTAAAAAAATTGATTTAAAATGAATGCGCCTATATTTTATTTTGTATGTATAATAATATAATCATACTTCATAGTTATTATTGTTAATATTATATAATAATACACATAATGCCGTGCAAAACAATTGAAAATCTGTGTTAAAATATCTTTCAAATTATACATTTCAGAATTATTTTATACTTTGATATACAAGACCAGTGGCGCCGACCTCTTTTTTGAAAAATGTGGCCGGCCGGCAATATTTAATTTACATCATAACTTTATTATAAGCATGAGTAAATTTAAACCGTGATTATGAATACATTTATATTAGGGTACCTCTATATTAAATAATTAAGATATTGAGGCCGGGAAGTTTTAAAATTGCCCGACCACATTTTAAAAACTTCGGCGCCACTGTACAAGACATTATATTTTAAAATAAATGGAACACCAAAAAGGTTTTTTTAGAAACACAAAAACTCATGTAGTTTTCTAAACTTATTTTTGCAAACTTAAATCTCTAAATATACAGAAATGAATGACTTCAACAAAATATATTCCCTATACAATTATATGGCTTTGTGTCTGTTTGTTTACATGTTCTAGGTACCCCAAAGATCACTGTTGTATTAATTTAGATATTTGGTCCCAAAAATGACACAATGTATGTAACATTTAATCTCAGGTGAGAAGTTTGAGTAAATTAACGTGATTTTATTATCATGTGGCACCAAATTCAAAAATCTATTTTCAAATTTTTTTTTTAACTCTAAAAAATATTTATACACTATACATTATTTACTTCTCATGGATACGGTTATGAATATCACATGGGTACATAGTTTTCATTACTTTTAACAATCTCCTCCTCCACCCTGAAATAAAACTCTGGACGTACGTCCCTAAACTGTGAGGCATAACACACGACTATACACCGTTTAAGTTTTAATCGTATTTAACATTACATATTATTATGAAATACATCAACAAATCATATGCTGCGTAAGCAATAAATCAAGTGACAATAATAATAATATGTCTATATAAAATAATGCTTTATCAGAACTCCAAGTGCAAGGTTTAAGTTAGATATTCTATCTTACTATAGATATTCTAACTGTGGTGCTTTTCCAGTAGAATATTTATTGCGGGGTGACCGCGGCTGATACATAAAACGATAATCGCACTTTCATTATACATTGAAATAATGAATTATGAAATGCAAAACTTTGTTCTGTAAGTGAACTTATAAAGAGCGAAATATTTGTAAGTGTGCAGTAACTAATATATTATACAGTGAGTTCCGCTTAATGTAACCACTGGTTTATAGAATCAACCGTTTATTGGAATCAAAAATTAAAATCCCAAACCAAATATTATATTTAAAAAAAAAATGCTTTAAGGAACCAACCGGTTAATAGAATCAAAATGGTCTGAACCAATGAGATCGCATCAAGCGGTACTCACTGTATTATATATTATAATATTTGTATTAACAGTTTTTTTTTACTGTGCAATCAACGACAACCAGAAATAATCAAACGTAAATTCAATTTATGTATTTGAGGTCAATTTCAATAGCGTTTGAGCCACCCGCATTTAAGGGTTGAATTCCAGGATAAAAATAAGTCTTTGCCAAATAGTGTCAGCGAATCTATTGACATAATTTTTAATTCGACCACCACAACCGTTTGCACGCCTCTAAATAACACACCTAAATATATAGACTCGATTGATACTATACCCACCTAATCACTATAATTGGTTTATACTAAAAAGATGAAAATAAATCATTAATCTCATACATTTTTAGATTCCAGACTCAAACAGTATATTTACTTAATGTTCACGGTCTCAAGTATAGGCTATCAAATTTATTTAATTTGTATTATTTTTGTTTGCAGAATTAAATTTGTCTCACAATCAAATCAGTAAACTGCCGGACCAACTGTCAGAAATGAAGAACCTTAAAAAGTTGAACATTTCATACAACTCATTTGTCGAGTTACCAGAACCGATTGCTCATTTAGGAGAACTAACTACTTTGATAGCTAACAATAATTTTATTATTGGTGAGTTAAGAAATATATTATATTTATTAAAATTGTATTATTTAAAAAAGGTAAATTGAAAATTTGACGATAATAATTGTAAGAATAAATAACCTGTAAAGATAAATAAGTATCTTAATGGTTTGGTAGTGATTTTCGTTCCAAAAATCAAAATGTTTTTACATTTCAATGAGCACCAATCTCGTTTTAAAAATATCTAAGTCCAACCAGCATAAATTGCACTTATTAATTTTAAACGTCTTCGTGATTCCCATTATTATTGTTTTTTTTATTAAAATGAAAAGTAAAAAATCTATTTACACTTGTAAAATGTTATAAAAAAAAAAATCATAAACAAATATTAAATAAAAAAAAAAACAAACAAGTATAGGTACAGAGGAAACATAATTTCATCATAGGTGTAAGTAACTATATACTTTATGATTGAATATGACTTTAGTTATAGTAAATATTAATATTTATAATCCACAGTATATAGTTACACATGAAACAAAAATCACTAAACTTATGCACATCAGCTTATGATATTATTAAAATGATTGATTAGATTAATTGAATTCATCTTTTCACAATACACGTCATGTTCAATACGACATAAATATAGAATATAAAAAAAAAATACGATTTCGTCATGGATCCGGAAGTTTGAACGTTCACAGCATATAGGATAATATACTTCCAGCTGTGCGAATAATATATTTATATCGCCTGACAAAATTATAATCCCAAAGATTCGAGTGACAAAATTTATGTCAAACAAAATATCGACTAAATTTTTCAATTTTAAATGGACAATAATAATATGTTTTGTTTTTTATAAAAAAAAAGAAAAATAATAATTTCGTGTGCACGAACGATGCGATTTATTTTACCGTATTATTATTGCTATGCATCACGTCATTAATCAATAGTATAACTATTAATATACCGTGGTTGTGATCGTATATACATTTTAGATGTAAATGTCAGGACATTGGAATCATGTTTGAAGCATCTGAAAGAAGTCGATCTCAAGGATAATCCACTCAACGCTTCGACGGTGGATGCGCTGGAACGAGAATTGCCTTTCAGGGTGTTGTTCACACCCCCGACCGACGAAGACTGGAGAGATTTAGACAATTGATTAACAAACACAAAACATTTGACAATACAGAAATATATTTTTTAATTAGCTAATAAAATGTTTTTATTCATTTTTATCATCGTTTTTTTTTTTCTTATCATTATTTTTTTTTTTGTATATAGTTTTCAGTGGCTTGTTCGCTCCGAAATAACAATTCAAAATAATTATTACATAAAATAAATTGGGTCCCTACCCACATATCACTGCATTTATGCCATCGTTTTTTTTTTACACATACATAATGTACATTTTAGTTTTTTTTGTATTTACACACTGAATATCGTTATAATATTGTTTTTTTTTTTGTATACAAGCATAACAAATAAATAAATTAAATACAAATAAAACTAAATATAAGTGTGTTTTTGGTAGTAAATATAATGTAGATTATTATTATTATTAAGATAACTATAGTTAAATTTACATTATATCGTACAAAAACCAAAGAGATTATATTTGTACAAAATGACAAAAAAAAAAAAAAAAAAAAATACAAGTTATAAACGTTGCAAAAATGTCGGTCGCAAGAACATATTATTATTATGTTATTATCTATATTTTTATATTACTTTACTTACATAATAATAATAAAAAAAAAAAAAACTGTTCTACTATTTGTCTATAAAGTATTATTAGAAAACCTATATCGAATAATAATTATTTTGTCTTTTGTCAAAAATTATACTACCTATCATTTATTCCTTTTCTCTCTCCCCTCGTATTCACTATCTCTCACACTGTTACATAATAGCCACGACTATTAAATATCTCGTCACACTCACTCTGGAGTCTTAAGCATTTTCACATTAAACGGCACGGTCATAAAAAAAAGAAAAAAAAAGTTAATTTTGTTTAAATTATTTCTATAAATATCACCAATGACAAAATCATATTACTCCGACTTGTACAACACAATTTTAATTATATAATAATAATAATATGTACACTAATATAATAAAATATACAGTACAGTCACTTTGATTGCGCACAAAAATTGGATGGTAAAAATGTTGTCCGACACACAATATGTATAATACAGTCACAACAGACCCGAATTGTTAATTTCTCGCGCGCAGTTTCGGTCATTAGAAACAACAAAACAATTTGCTAAATAAAGTTAACGAATGACTAGAAACTATTTCATTTACAATAATAATAATAATAATAATATAGTAATAATAATAATAATAATAATAATTTATTACCCATTTTTTTTAAGAGTCCGTCAAAAATAAAAAGCGACAGCGCTTGGTTTCGGAAAATTTATCGACACACACGTATATACCCGAAACTAATTATCACGTCAGCGCATTTTTATTATAAAACTAAAGAAGAAAACTTTCGATTAGAAAAAAAAAAAAAAAAACGTGCGGTAATGATATTATTAAGTATAGTATAATATGATGATAGATATTTTTCATTTCACTATAATATATATATTATTTTTTACAGGACACACCGAAAGTTCTTATAAGACATTTTTTTTTTTTTAATTTTTTTAATTTTTTATCCGTCACACGGAACAATTATTAATTATAATTTCGTCGTATCGTACTGCGATTCGTATAAAGTCACAGGTTTTTTTTTCACATCGGAGATTGTGTTTGTGAAACTCTTATTGACCGCGACGACGACCCCCCCCCCCTCCCCAGCCCCCAATCAGTAAGAGAATTCGTCGAAAACTCCAAAACCGTCACAGTAATATTACGACAGCCTCCCTGGACCGAATACAATATAAATCGTTGCCCCGATCGTATAAAAAAAATAAATAAATAAATAAGAAACATCGTTCGAAATGTAATATTCGATAATATAATATTAAGTAGAAAAGGAAAAAAAACCGTAGAAAAACGCTTTTCGTTCGTCTCGTAAAATAAAAATTCTAATCAAGCACAGCGCAATCGTTTTTTTTTTTTTTTAAATTTTTAATATATATTATTGTAATATCATTATTGGCCTTCGAACACATCGTGTGGTACCTACCCTACCTACCTACACATGACACGAATTATACCCACACCCCAGGGGTGGTAAAAGCTAAGACGTTATATTCGTTTATGGTTATCATAAAATGTTATCGACATAATCAATTGCAATCAATTGTTATCAATTGCAATTCATTCGCGCAATCGGACGTCATCGTGTATCGTCAGTTTGTCGAGGCTGTTGGGGGGGGGGGGGGGGTGGGCACCCACAATAACAATTTCGGATTTTTTATTTTTAAATACGATATTCCTGTCGTATGATATACTGCACGTCGTGTATAGATTATAATATCATATATAGGTATGTAATAAAATATGTAGGTAATACGCCACTCGTTATTTGAACTAATAAGATTCGTCGAAAGCACGCGGACCGCAAGACATTCGGAAATAATAATAATAATAATAATAACAATAATAATAACATCGTCACAATTATCATAGGTACATTTCGGTACAATATTATTAATTTTACAATACGGTCGTATATTATCGTTCCGTTATCGTGTCATTGGCAGTGTGTTTTCAACGGGACCTTACGCGTACGATGCGATCTCACAGGTAGGTGTATTGTAAAATTAACAGATGAATATAATAGTAATATCAATAATAATATCATGTACCCCGCGTAAGCACAATAATAATTACAATAAAAATGAGAAAAAAAAAATGTTCAAATTAACTATATCACTATATATGTATATAAAAAAAAAAAAAAAATGCAATTATATATTACACACTTTTTTTACTACACACGTGAGATGTATTTTTTTTAATATTATCACATATCACGACGAATACACGCGGGGGGGGGGGGTATTTTTTTTAGATTTTATACAATATTAAATAATACGCTGCAGGTATTAGAAGACTGTTTGAATATAATATATGTATATAAATATTATGCGTGTGTGCGTATGTGCGAGAGTATCTTCCTTACGCCATATTATCGTTATAATAATATTATACAATAATACACATATAATTAATAAAATATTATATATGTTTACATAAGACGTGTGTGTGTGTGTGTGTCGTATAAAATATTATACACGTATATATAACGTATGATATCGAGTGTTTTCAGCGGTCTCTGCAAATGTGTAGCACCTCATATATATATTATTACACGCAGGTATCATCGTAATAGTAGACACGGTGAGAGACAACTCTGTATTTCATAATATAACATATTATCATTTCACTATTGGCTTAGCGTCTGTTTGTCTACGTGGCTCAGACACGGTACCATGGTCAGACTCGACAGACTCTGGATGTTGTCCACCTGCGGGAACTCTGTTCTCGGCAAACACCTGCAAAAGTACACGTACAACGATATTATTATAGGTAAGTCTATTATAGAGCAGGAAAATAACAGTATATTTATATAACGAAAAAAAATCGCGTGGTCTGTAATAATAGACCGCGATTGCGTTATCGTACGATATGCACGTTGCACATGCACATGCAAGTGATATTATATTATATATGGGCTGTGGGGCGCGATAGCTGCAACAGCACACCGGCTCGCCATAACAGACGGTGTGTGATGTATATATTTGGTTAGGCACTGAAATACATTACTGCAGTGACGTCGTGAAATCGATAAATATGTTTACAATTTTATATATTCGCGTATACCGACGAAGTATTACAAAATGGGGCCTCGCAATTTCATTGATTTAAGGAGAATCATTTAGGCAATTTCTAATCTCGTCGTAGCCACCCGAGATCTATGTGTTAGTCGTAAATGATTATTAGTGTGTGTGGCGTCCATGCGGGTCAATTGTAGCTCTCGCACGCACTCGCACACACATGTCAATATATAATAATATTGTGATCATGAAAAAATGCTTATTTTTCACTTAAACATACGATTCTAATTCCAACAGTACGTCGCAACGATTACCTCAATTTTCATTCTGACAAAATATTCTTATTTTCCACAACATGTACGAGGGATCGATCGAGGCACATTTTCAAAAAATTTTATTTAGTTAATTAAATATTTAAGTCGGAAATTCTGTAATTTTTTTTTTTATTTTTTACAATTTTTATTGCAATTTAAATTGCAAAAATTAAAAATGTGGCTCGATCGTTCCCTTGCATATATTACGGACAATCAGAATATTTTTTCAGAATGAAAATCGTGATAATTGTCGACACGTATCGTTGGAATTAGAAACAGTAGTTTTTGACAAAAAAAAAGACGTGTCCCCTTAAACTCGACTATCATTATTCGGTAGAATACATAATCATATTAGTCGATACTCGGCCCCTTAAGATTCAGATTTCTGCACACACTCCGGGCGTATTGTTAAAATTTAACCGAGTTCAAATTGTACCGTTTTTCTTTGAGGCGCCTAATATTTCGGCAAATAAACGTACAATATCGACTTTAACATAAACCGAACGAATCCATACGATTGTCTCTGCGACATCGGTATAAGCTCATATAAAAATCACAGTGATATTCGCGTACTTGTTATATATTGCGAACAAGTACCTGCTTTTGAAAATAAAAACTCCTTTCATAACGATTTAAAATTGCCATTTTTTATTCAACTCAAGGATCTCGATTTTTAACGAAACGCCTTTCCCTACCTATATAATATGTAAAGATTATAATTGCTGTTTTTAAATGTTCATTCCGACGAAATAATGCAGTATATTGCACTGTATATTATAATCACACGGTTTACGATAATATTTAAGCCATTTCGATAATAATAGCGTAGGTAATTTTTGGATCGTTTTCAATTCGACAGACATGTACGATAACGTATACTAAATCTAAATAAATTATTCCGGCATAAAATATCTCTAAAACATTCTCGATTACGGCGGTTAACGGAAAATTTGTCAACGACGCGATTTCATACTTAATGGAGTGCGCGCATGCAGTGAACTATATGCACAAAAGACTGCTCACGCGTCCGTTTGTATTTGAATATAATAATATATACAATTTGTAGGCACCTACAGGTATAATAAACGTACAAATTATACGATTTATATACGGGAACCGTATTTCGGCGGCGGTGGCGTCAGTGGGACATGATCGACTGCAGGTGGTTGGTGTCGCGCACGAGTAAATTCCGAACGGAACGTTTCAAAAAATTTACATATCATTTTAAACGTATTTATTGTGACACGTGCAGTTCCCATATCGTATTTTATACGAATATTACACGGCGCGATGGCGTTTCAAATGGCCCCGACACAATACTGCTTTGCCCAATATATATGTATATAAATGTACCTATGTGTGTGTGTGTGTGTGTGTGTGTGTGCTAGGCGCGGCGATACTGTTTTTCCACAACCAGTTTCGCTATTAAATTCTTCGGCATCTCGATATGGCCCGGTATATCTGAAATCTTTCGGCTTCTCCTCAAACACAGTTCGTTTTAATATTTTCTCCGAGGCTGCAGCTCGATCCCGCGAGTCGATGGTTAAAAATACACGTGTATATCATAAGCATACCCCTCCCCCCCTATGCATGAGCGCGCACACACACACACACACACACACACGATCGTATTTATGACTTTATTATGCCATATACTGGAGCCGGATTATATATACCTACAAGGTGATATTTTGTTTAGACGGTGCCCGTGTCTACCTATAAGTAGTTTATAAAATAATATAATACACTTCTTACGATTTTGTGAGCTATATTATGTTCTATTATTGCGTTCAAGTAGCCTGAGAGGAAACGACAGCAGAGAGAGAGAGAGGAAAAATCGTTCTGATAACTATGCACGCAGAGTGGAAAAGTTTATAGTAGAATTTAACGTCCACGTAATAACTACGTGTTCTTGACTACTACAATCTGTAGGGGTTGTGTATGAAAGGGTTGATGAGTTCGATGATATTACAACGTCAACGGCTGGCAACTATAATAATATTATACTATTATATTAGGACATTTCGACGTTATCGAAACATTTACAACAGACGAATTTTCCGCATATATTCTGGACATTCACATAATAGTATTCCTAGCAAATCGTGGTAAACGGACAAACTATACCAAACTGGACCGCGAACGACATGTACGACGTGTTGTTGAATTATAACAGAAAAACCCGAGTTGTGCAGAATCGTTTCTCTAACTCATCTTATAATATTAATATAACCTATCAGGGATGAAACATATTTTTCTAACATTACGCGCCAAAAAGGAACTGATTATGAAAAATACTGTACAACAAATGAGAAAACGATTTTGATTTGTAATGTAGTCATCGAGAGAGATTTAATAAACAAAAATAACCAATTATTACATTTTTTCGATTTGGGCACGCGTGCCACGGATTTTCCATTCCTGACATATACATAATGTTAAGTAAATAGTTCGTATAATATGTATATATATATACGTACACATACCTCGAGGAGACGCTGTTACATCTCGTGACCGAGTCCACTTCGGACAAGGACGTGGAGAGGGACGTGAGACCGGAAGCGGAACTGGACCTGTGAGGCTGCGACAGTTTCCGACACTCCGCAGTCGACGTCCATATCGTCCGGTTTGGAGGTCCCCTGATGCACTTTTGGTAGATCTCTCGTTCCTGCGGAAATACACCACATTAGTTATTGTTCGATACTAGACGACAATATAGACGTAATACAATACAGACATGAATGATATAATATAGTGAAACTACCACGTTGAGTAGTGTCACGGGCCATAAAAAAAAAAAATTCGTATTAAATCTCTGATTTGGTATTCTAATTTGGTTCGATTCTCAACCGTATTTCGTTGGACAGAGAAAATGTCGTAAAATGAAAGTTTCACTGTATTCATATAATATGCGCATACGTATTGTACACGCATTGTTGGGTTGAGGGCGGTGGTGGACTAAAATCCTTTACCACCCCTAAGCGATTAGACGCGTTGTAGACCTGCTAACTGAATAATACAATCGACAACCCACAGCGAGCAATTTAATTGTGACGTTATACACTAATATTACGCCTATATACTATTTCTGTATAGGTTATATTAATCAAACTTAGATAGGTACTGTATTAGGAAACTTGGTCCAGTTTATATACCATTTAATTCTTATTAATTTTGTAACTATATTGTAATATTATATACTAACTAGTAGTCTAACCTATAACCTTGAAAAAAATCCCATGTACGCCTCCATAATTCGTGTTTGAGCGGTATAGGAAATAGATAGATAATATCATACAAACCGTGGGGTTATTACTATATAGTTACTGCCTGGACGGTGTTTCGGAATCAATGGAAATAATGAAAATATGTACTATTAATTTCTAATACTATATTCGTCATCACAGTTATCTGGTTATGTAGATAACCGCGTTCATCATACCGCATGGCTGACCACCATACGGCGACGACGATATACCTCCTAAACGCAATATTCTGTTTTCATTATTTTTATTAGGAGAGCCACTCCTATACCGAACGTCGTCAGTGGTATTTTTATAACTGTATACGCCGACAAAGACGATTAACGACATTTATTATTATTATTAATTAAACGGGTACCGCCGCACACATCAGATAAGTCGATGCCATTACATTTGATAGATAGTGTTGTTGAAATAGACGGAGTGGAATCTTTTATTTTATTTTTTTTTTTAATTTAAGTTTTTTATGCCTGCACACAGAGGAATAGAAAAATAGTGTCGTTTTCGTTGTTCAAAGAAAATAAATAAAATTTTATGAGCTTGTGTTAATTTTTCTGTTATGCCTCTACAGGAATTTAGCCACAAACCTTTATCCATAAATACAATATTGTATACAAGGTAATTTTTTATTCGCCGAGTACGCTCTCACCTCCCTACTTTTTCTTTAATAATGGATTTATCATTTTTAAGACTTTCAAGAATACCAATAGTTACTATGATTTTTTTAGTATACCATATTTTCAAATACTTAGATTTGTTATACCATATTTTAAGGAGTGTCTTGTGGCGATATCAACTTATTTTTTTTTCAAATGGGATGGATCACGGATTTTTATTAAATTGTTAATCTGATGACTATTTTGAGGAGATTTTAGTATAATAGTATCTCAATCGAAATTCAAACAAGTAGTTTTTGAGTTATTGATGAGGGATTTCGATAATATAGGGGTTATAATGATTTTAACCGATTTTAAAAATCATTATTAATTAGTATTGTAATCCATCAAAATGTTATAATTTGTAAAAATTGTCCAAATATTATAAATATTATAATTTCCAATATTGAATTTCTTTCACGTTTTGTAAAACCATTTTCAAGGACTATAATATTATTCTTAGGATATGTTTTAATAGCTCAGATACTGCTCGTTAAACTTTTTTTTTTATAGATCAAAATTTTCAAAAAATAATCTGATCAACAGCAATTTACCGAAGAAAAGAAGTTCACATAACCACAGAATGCTCCCGACATTGTATGCAAATCTAAATAATTGAAAATAATAATTATGGTGCTCGAGTACGCTTGAAATTTTCAAAATTCATCATTTGATCGAGTCGTTCGAGGAAAAAGTGGAATTGAACTATGATTATGTTTGGCGAATTATGTCCTTTATATTATGATATAATATAGAAGACAGCGTATAGAATACAATATAATATATAATTAAACGTCTGAAAAAACATTTCTGTGGACCCATAGATAATAAATACATGGACAGGACGCCTCAAATTCATTACGTATTAGTTTTGCGGTCCAACATAGATAAGAAATTGAGGCGATTTGTTTACATTTTTTGTTGACAGTCGATACTCCATATAGATATACTTTATTTGGCCTCAATTATTCCCCTGGAAGACCGCTGATAAGACCATTATGTCCTATCCATATCTTTATTATCTATGTGTGGACCAGACGCGACGAGGAGCTCATGTGACGGGGTCGTTGTTTCTATATTTTCTTATAGAATTTTTCGCGAGTGGCTGGTAAGTATATATTATACTATTAACGGTGAAATGCAAATTTTTTTTTCGAGCACAATATTAAGAGCACAATTTGACGATAATTATCTAATATAATATTATATAGGTACACGAACTTGTTCGGAATTCCGCAAATGCAACTTGGCCATGCTGCCGTACGGGTACTCCTCGCCGTCCGGCAAATGGATTCGCGGCGGCATGTCCAACTCCAAGTCCGTCCGGACCGAGTGCAACCGGACCTGCCGGTCGTGTTCTCGGGACAGACCGTTATTGCTTCGCATCGTCAACATCTGCAGCAGAAAAAACATGGTAAATTAATATTTTGTCGTGTGACAAATTCGTTTTAATAATTATATCGAGCGGCGTACACAATATAAACGCACTATACGATAATTATACTATATGAGAAAATATTATATTATAAAAACGCACTCAATATAATTCTTAATATTTGACATACCGGTCGAGTGCATATTTTTTTACTGATATAGACAACAATATTATATACTGATGGGTGGAAAGTTCACGGTTTATAATTTTAATAAAATGATACGACGTATATTATATTATTGCAGGTCGTCGCCGTTTTTCACGTGGAAAGAGACTCGGCGGACACGCTCGTCACAAATGCCACACGATCGTCGTGTCGCTGCAGCCGACCGACAACCATTTCAGACCACACTCTTTTTTTTACCCCGAGACGTGCGTGTGACTACTATTATTATCATTATGCGTACGCGTACATAATAACACAATAATAATAATAATAATATTATAATAATAATGAAATATTTTATATTGTGCACCGGCGGCGGCGGCGAAACGTACACGCCCGAGTGAAAACCGTTACTCAAAGGTCCCTCGGTGATAAAAAAAAAAAAAATGTATATACATATGCACTGCTGGGCCGTATAAAAATATATTATCGTCCTTTCCCTTTCGGCGGTGGGAAAACTCACTCGGCCCCGCGAGATGCGACTACGCGTCCCGGGCCGAGGGAGCGCAGTGCCCCTGCAGCAGCAGACAATGAAAGGGGGGCACACACGCACGCACGAGTTTGTGTGTGTGTGTGTGTATAATCTCCCTTTCACACGACCGTTTATTTTACTCTTTTTTTCCCTCTTATTTCGATCCCTCTGTCACTCTTTCCTATTTTTTTTTTTTTTTTTGTTCACCCTCCCCGTCAGTCGAAATTCGTCATATTTCAGTAATTTCAGTGTAAAACGGAATCGTCTGCTGCAGTACCCGTATTGTGATAATATAATAATATCGTGCGCACAGTACTACGCTTAGGTACGACGTCTGTACAACATATCATACACGCGGATATGAAGCATGCGCGCGCACGCACGATTAAACCAGCTCGAAATAATCGTCGCAGCGTTCTGTTCCGCTCTGTATACCACGTCCGAGACAGACTGGAAAACGATTAGGAGCCACTGCTATATTATGTACAGAATGATTATCATTTGACACACATTGTTTCGAAGAGTCAAAGGGTATTTGTGCGGGTCTCCGTGTAAACAGATTAAATTAAAATATAAAAACCATACCGTAATCGTACCGAAGTACGTACACACTACGGTCTACGACTGAGGAATCGGTTTTTTTTTTTAAAGCATGATGAGCAGTGAACTTTTGAATAGACTTCATAGACTTATTCGATATAGAGACTCGTTCAATATACAATATTATAATGTACATAATAATATGTTTGAATGGGTTATCTACTATAATGTGTCCACCTCACGTCCAATTATTTTGAACATTATTTTTCGACTAACATAGCTCGTTGACAAATGTATAAAATATAATAATTTACGCAAGTAATAACATATAAAAGCAGCTTTTTCGACACCACTTCCACCACTCACTTTCTACGCCTTCAACGGGTTTTTGTGCATATCATTGGTCATCCTTAGAAATCAATCGATCGACAAATGCCAACACATTGAAATAATAATATTAAACTATATTATAAGCGTATTATATTATATGTTATCGTTTGCAAATAAATCGAATAGTAAAATACGTTGTAACCTCTCTAAATCTTGAAATAATAATTATAGAAGTTATAATAGCAGTACAGAAACGTATTATTGCAGCTTTGCCTTTGCCTTGTCCGATTATTTGATCTTAAGCTTGCATCGCTTTTACCACGAGGTGATAATATTAATATGTATTAAATATAATAATTTACGCAAGTAATAACATATAAAAGCAGCTTTTTCGACCCCACTTCCACCACTCACTTTCTACGCCTTCAACGGGTTTTTGTGCATATCATTGGTCATCCTTAGAAATCAATCGATCGACAAATGCCAACACATTGAAATAATAATATCAAACTATTATAAGCTTATTATATTATATGTTATCGTTTGCAAATAAATCGAATAGTAAAATACGTTGTAACCTCTCTAAATCTTGAAATAATAATTATAGAAGTTATAATAGCAGTACAGAAACGTATTATTGCAGCTTTGCCTTTGCCTTGTCCGATTATTTGATCTTAAGCTTGCATCGCTTTTACCACGAGGTGATAATATTAATATGTATTAATTATTAAATATAATAATTTACGCAAGTAATAACATATAAAAGCAGCTTTTTCGACACCACTTCCACCACTCACTTTCTATACCTTCAACGGGTTTTTGTGCATATCATTGGACATCCTTAGAAATCAATCGATCGACAAATGCCAACACATTGAAATAATAATATCAAACTATATTATAAGCGTATTATATTATATGTTATCGTTTGCAAATAAATCGAATAGTAAAATACGTTGTAACCTCTCTAAATCTTGAAATAATAATTATAGAAGTTATAATAGCAGTACAGAAACGTATTATTGCAGCTTTGCCTTTGCCTTGTCCGATTATTTGATCTTAAGCTTTTCATCGCTTTTACCGCGAGGTGATAATATTATTATTAGAAACGGAAACCTCGGTCGTTCTCGACAAATATTATTATAATAATTTTTAAGTTAACGATACGAATTACACCACACTGACCTCGTGAGGTGGCAACGAGCTCGAAGAGTCTATAATTATTTCTTTTGAAAAGTTTGTTACACAAACTTTACACAACTAGGTCGTTTTATATATTTAATATAGAAGCCGAATGCACATTTAGTAAGTACCTATAAACTATATTATAATGTACATATATATGTATGCGTGCAACCGTGGAACGTGTATTATACGTAATATTATTTAAATATATTTTATCGATCTGAAGTGATAGTTTTTCACGATATACTTTATGATATCGATATATTATTGTAATATGTACAGTTAAGAATTGTTATAAAAATTAAATTTCTGCATATATTAGCTATGGAGTCGTATTGTTCAATGCCTACGGCGGGTTAATATTCTGAGAAAAATATTATTTTGAAGGAAAAGCAATTTTTTTTTTTGGAAGAAAATATATACAATCTACATCATCGTAGACATAATAATATAGTATGTGTGGGTTAAGAAAACAATAGAACATGAGTCACACGATTTGAGGAAAAAAACCACCCAGTGATGACACTTTCATTAATTTTGAAGGAAAAGCAACTACCAAAAAATATATAAATACGTATTCGATTCTTTCTCCGCACTTGGGTTGTATGCGATAAATCTTAAAACTGAATTGGGTCAAAGTTAATAGTCTTCGAGTGCTTTTAAGTTTTAAGATGGCGAAAATGAAGTACGTCGTATACAATTTGAGGTACGTTTTTAAAATCCTTAAAGAATACGCTCAAATACACTCATTATTCGGTATTAAAAATCTTTTTATATAGTTCCGGTCTCAAACATCGTATAATACGATGAAATTCGTTTTTCGGTTAAATAATAAAATCATTCAAACGGCAAATATTAATTCTTAAACAGTAAATAATGCATACTACATTATAATATAACCTTATTGGTATATATATATATATAATCGTAAAACACTAAAAATATGTAGGTATTTCCTCGTATCATTGTATGAATTTATGCAACGAAATTATCACAAGTAATAATACAATTTTGTGGATTTTATAAGATCTCAGCGGTAAAAAAAAAAGCACAGGAATTATTGCGTTATATTTAAAAAATAATTGAATTGTATTATTTATTTGAAAAACGCTTTATCGTGTCGACTGTATACGTTGATTATTAATTGACAATATTATTTTGATCATTTCGGGTGTATTTAAATTATTTTTTTCCTCAACTAACAAAAAAGAATTTTTATACAATAAATTATGCATTAGTTTGTCCACATGTTCATATATAAGATAAATAAATAATTCACGCAGATATATTCGTTAAAACGATCGTAAAAAATCTTCATTTCCTTTAACATTACCTATACGAAAAAAGAAAATTGATGCTTTACGTGCACGATGTGCATTTTGTCAAACCATTAGGCGTCGTCTGTCGGAGAGTGTAAAGATGTAAATTTAAAATTAAAAAAAAAAAGTTATCGATTGTCAAAAAAAACTCGTTTTATGGACAAACGTATGGATAACTCGTTTTTATAACAGACAAATAACTGACACGTGTATAAATACATATATATATATATATATATATATATATATATATATATTAAAGATATTAAATACACAATTTATGTATAGGAAAGACTGGTCAAAGTTGGTCAAGTGTTGTTCTAACTGGTAGTTGAATTTCAGTTCACCGATACTACGTTGTATATACGATAGTTTCTAAATAAAGTCACATGCATCAAAAGCATCGAAAAAAGTACAAACCGACCAGTCGAGGCGAACTTGGGCGATTGAAACAAGTTCATGTAAGTTATTCCTCGATTTTTTTGTTATATTTCATCGTAATAAATATTATATAGAATAACAGCTGTTTTATAAAACGTACATTTTATTAATATAACAACGGTATAGGTTCCTACTGCATCTTTCAAGTACGTTACGAACTCGTGAAATTATAGTAATAACAGCTATAGTGCAGGTTATTACAGATATTTTATAACAAACTTATTATATATAATATCATAACAACAAAGCCTATTATATATCCAAGATTTAAAGTGTATGGTCTATTGAAAGTTATTGTCCGAAGCTGCATTATCGGACTGTACACCTATAAAGATATTTAATACACAATTTATATATAGGAATGACTGGTCAAAGTTGGTCGAGTGTTGTTCTGTCTGGTATAGATGAGTTTCAGTTCACCGATACTATATGGAGTACGATAGTTTCTAAATAAAGTCACATGCATCAAAAACATCGAAAAAAGTACAGACCAACTGGTCGAGGGCGGTTGAAACAAGTTCGTGTATAAGTTTTTCCTCGATTTTTTTTTTGTATTTCATCGTAATAAATATTATATAAAATTACGGCTGTTATATAAAACGTACATTTTATTAATTTAACAACGGCAGATACCTTACGAACTCGAGAAATTATAGTAAAGACTTACTATACCCGAGCAGATTATTACAGATATTTTATAACAAACTTATTATATAATATCATAACAACAAAGCCTATTATATATCTAAGATTTAAAATGTATCGTCCACTGAAAGCTATAGTCCGAAGCTGCATTCTCATGACTGTACACCTACAAAGATAATAAATACGCAATTTATATGTAGGTATGACTGGTCAAAGTTGGTCGAGTGTTGTTCTGACTGGTATAGTTGAGTTTCAGTTCACCGATAATACGTTGTATATAGTACGATAGTTTCTAAATAAAGTCACATGCATCAAAAACATCGAAAAAAGTACAAACCAATTAGTCGAGGCGAACTTGGGGGGTTGAAACAAGTTTATGTAAGTTATTTCTCGATTTTTTTGTTATATTTCATTGTAATAAATATTTTATAGAATAACAGCTGTTATATAAAACGAACATTTTATTAATTTAACAATCGTAGGTACCTTAAGAACTCGAGAAATTATAGTAAAAACTTACTATACCTTCGCAGATTATTACAGATATTTTATAACAAACTTATTATATAATATCATAACAACAAAGCCTATTATATATCTAAGATTTAAAATGTATCGTCTACTGAAAGCTATATAGTCCGTAGCTACATTCTCAGACTATACACCTATAAAGATATTAAATACACAATTTATATATAGGAATGACTGGTCAAAGTTGGTCGAGTGTTGTTCTGACTGGTATATATGAGTTTCAGTTCACCGATACTACGTTGTATATACGATAGTTTCTAAATAAAGTCGCGCATGCATCAAAAACATCGAAAAAAGTACAGACCAACTGGTCGAGGCGAACTTGGACGGTTGAAACAAGTTTATGTAAGTTATTTCTCGATTTCATTGTAATAAATATTATATAGAATAACAGCTGTTATATAAAACGAACATTATATTAATTTAACAACGGCTGCAGGTACCTTACGAGAAATTATTATAGTAAAAACTCACTATACCCTAGCAGATTATTACAGATATTTTATAACAAACTTATTATATAATAATATCATAACAACAAAGCCTATTATATATCTAAGATTTAAAATGTATCGTCTACTGAAAGCTATATGATAGTCCGTAGCTGCATTCTCAGACTATACACCTACAAAGATATTAAATACGCAATATATATATATAGCCATATAGGAATGACTGGTCAAAGTTGGTCGAGTGTTGTTCTGACTGGTATAGTTGAGTTTCAGTTCATCGATAATAAGTTGTATATACGATATTTTCTAAATAAAGTCACATGCATCAAAAACATCGAAAAAAGTACAGACCGAGGCGAACTTGGGCGGTTGAAACAAGTTTATGTAAGTTATTTCTCGATTTCATTGTAATAAATATTATATAGAATAACAGCTGTTATATAAAACGAACATTATATTAATTTAACAACGGCTGCAGGTACCTTACGAGAAATTATTATAGTAAAAACTTACTATACCCTCGCAGATTATTACTGATATTTTATAACAAACTTATTATATAACAACAAAGCCTATTATATATCTAAGATTTAAAATGTATCGTCTACTGAAAGCTATATTATAGTCCGTAGCTGCATTCTCAGACTATACACCTATACAAAGATATTAAATACGCAATTTATATGTAGGAATGACTGGTCAAAGTTGGTAGAGTGTTGTTATGACTGGTATAGTGGTATAGTTGAGTTTCAGTTCACCGATAATAAGTTGTATATACGATATTTTCTAAATAAAGTCACATGCATCAAAAACATCGAAAAAAGTACAGACCGAGGCGAACTTGGGCGGTTGAAACAAGTTTATGTAAGTTATTTCTCGATTTCATTGTAATAAATATTATATAGAATAACAGCTGTTATATAAAACGAACATTATATTAATTTAACAACGGCTGCAGGTACCTTACGAGAAATTATTATAGTAAAAACTTACTATACCCTCGCAGATTATTACTGATATTTTATAACAAACTTATTATATAACAACAAAGCCTATTATATATCTAAGATTTAAAATGTATCGTCTACTGAAAGCTATATTATAGTCCGTAGCTGCATTCTCAGACTATACACCTATACAAAGATATTAAATACGCAATTTATATGTAGGAATGACTGGTCAAAGTTGGTAGAGTGTTGTTATGACTGGTATAGTGGTATAGTTGAGTTTCAGTTCACCGATAATACGTTGTATACATATACGATAGTTTCTAGATAAAGTCACATGCATCAAAAACATCGAAAAAAGTACAGACCGAGGCGAACTTGGGCGGTTGAAACAAGTTTATGTAAGTTATTTCTCGATTTCATTGTAATAAATATTATATAGAATAACAGCTGTTATATAAAACGAACATTATATTAATTTAACAACGGCTGCAGGTACCTTACGAGAAATTATTATAGTAAAAACTTACTATACCCTCGCAGATTATTACTGATATTTTATAACAAACTTATTATGTAACAACAAAGCCTATTATATATCTAAGATTTAAAATGTATCGTCTACTGAAAGCTATATGATAGTCCGTAGCTGCATTCTCAGACTATACACCTACAAAGATATTAAATACGCAATATATATATATAGCCATATAGGAATGACTGGTCAAAGTTGGTCGAGTGTTGTTCTGACTGGTATAGTTGAGTTTCAGTTCACCGATAATAAGTTGTATATACGATATTTTCTAAATAAAGTCACATGCATCAAAAACATCGAAAAAAGTACAGACCGACTAGTCGAGGCGAACTTGGGGGGTTGAAACAAGTTTATGTAAGTTATTTCTCGATTTCTTTGTTATATTTCATCGTAATAACTATTAGGTATATAGAATAACAGCTGTTATATAAGACGCACATTTTATTAATTTAACAACCGTAGGTACCTTACGAACTCGAGAAATTATTATAGTAAAAACTTACTATACCCTCGCAGATTATTACAGATATTTTATAACAAACTTATTATGTAACAACAAAGCCTATTATATATCTAAGATTTAAAATGTATCGCCTACTGAAAGCTATATTATAGTCCGTAGCTGCATTCTCAGACTATATACACCTCATATAGCTATAATATCTCAGTACAGCCGGAAACCGGAGAGACGAGCGCGTGTGCATTCCTCCGATACGTTACGATTTTCCTCTCGTGATATAATAATATTATATTATTATATAACGTCATGTATCCTACCGCCGGACCGACGCGGAGCATTCGTAGGGAGCGGCGGTGGTCTAGTAGTGCGGTGCAACGGGTGTAGGACGCGGAGGCGAAAGAGGAGGAGGAGGAGGCGGTGGAGGCGGTGGAGGCGTCGGTGTCTATAGCGTACGCGTTCGTCGTCGTCGTCGTCGTCATAGTCGTACAATAGGAGAACGCGGCGGCGGCACGCGTGTGAATCTGGGACGACCCATTTTAAACTTGGCACCACCGCAAACGTCGAGCGCGCGGCCCTTCGCCACGCCACACACAACACACACACACACACACACACACAAACACATACACACCATTTTTATGTAATATATATTATTATATATACATATAACACACACACACATATATTTGATCTGTATATATATATATTATATACATACGGTCTACTATTAAATACACGAGCGCTAGCCATATGACCCTATCATAATCAATACATTTGAATTCAACCGCTCGGGCGCGCTACGTTGCCAACACGACTGCGGTGAATAAATGAGCGTGCGGCGGCGGCGAACGGTACGCCGCCGCCGCCGACACCACGCGCTGTCGCCCGCCGCCTAGGACGCCTACTACTACAACAACAACAACAACAACAACAAAAGCCGAGTTGACTAGGCGACCGAGCGACTACCGAACGTCGGTGTCGGGTGGATGATAGGGGGTGCACTTACGGCGGTTCGCGAGGACGTGCTGCTACTGTTACAACAACTGCCGCCGCTACGACGGGCACCGTTCGTAGTCGAGACCGGTGGTGCAGGCGATGCGATGATAGTCGTCGTCGTCACAGCCGCCGCCGCCGATGCCGTCGTAGTCGTCGTCGTCGTCGTCGTCGTCGCCGTCGATTTTTTCTTCTTGGTCAGCGGTGGCGGCGGCGCGGTAAGCCTGCGGTGCGGCGGCCCGGGCGCTGCCGACAGACAGGGCACGGACGGGTTGTATTGTTGATTGTAGTGATGCAGCACGCAAGTGAGCAGCCCGACAGTACCCAGCACGACCACCGTCACCACCATCAGTACCATCACCGTTCCAACTGTGAACAATATACCAATATAACGTCGGACATAAGCGCGACCGCGGTGCAGAGCGAGAGCGCGGCCAGAGGAGAGCGATGTGTGCCGAGGGAGCAGCTATAGTTTGGCGAAGCGAGACACGACTGTGATGATATTATTATAAAATTAAATATTTTATAGCATATTGTAATAATATTACCAGAAAATAAAATAAAACATTAGATTGTCGTAAGTTTGATTTAGTGAGAAGCATTATAGCGGTAGTCCAGGTATTGTATTACCTACTTACAAGTTTAAGTATACAAATTAAATTTCTGTATTATAATATATATATAAGTTTATAATTATCTTAAAAAAAAAATATTCTGTTTGTTACCATATGTAAATATACCATAATAACATAAACAGTTGAAAGAAATTAATAAATAAAGTTTTAAAAAAAAATAAAAATAAAAAAGTGAAAATAACTTCAAACAACGGTTAAATAATAATAATAATAAAAAAAAAAAATAATAATGAAATAATAAGTTGATATTACGGTAAACTCGCTTCCTCTTTTAAATTCTTGAACACTTAATATTTTTGCTTTGGTTTTCTTTTGTACAAGAACTTTTATTCGATTACTCTTTCAAACATTTGTCTCGTGTGTGTTTAACATGTCCAATGGTCGTGCTGAGGTAGGTTTCGGTTATCACAATATTATAATATTATCATCGACACTCGAGAGGAGTACCTATTATATTTATTACTATTTAAGCCTAAGGAGTTCGCAATAATTACGACGTCTACTGCGCGTTCACTATCTATCTGTTGTTTGCATTCGAAATGCATCTCATCTCTATGCAAACTACAACAATGATAAGTATAATGACATACAAGGACGGTCCTGTGTACAGTTTGCACACTGCAGGCGAACACGTCATGTCCAAAAAAGTCGATTTCTTTTGACTGGTTAATATTATAATATAATGTTTTAGAGCGAGAATATAATAATATGCAGTACTGTATTGTTTATTTTGTTAACAAAAATATTATTTCGTAGACGCCGCGACCGCGTCGGAATAAAAATCAAAGTGAACCCAATAATAATATACCAAGTCGTGGCAACAATGAGGCTACATTAAAAATATATTTACCACCTACACTATATTGTACAAACATATTATTGCGGAAAACCGTGATCGGGAGACAATGGAAGAAAGAAACTGTACTCTAGGTCTTGCATACTACAGGGCAGGGGCCATATAATAGGCGTTCATAATAATAATTACCAGTCGGCTGCGGTGTGTAATGATAGGTAGGTAGGTACTAAAAGGAAACGGATAAAACATACAACTCTAAACCACAATTGTTCGGGGGTACGCCTAATGGTATAGGTGGTATATACCGCGTGTCCGGGGTACGTTGTATACTTAAACATTACTCAGTACCCTATGCACATTTTTGAATCCTGTTCAACGGGACACGAAACCAGGATCATCAATCTCCCCCTCAGACGAAATTCTAAAATATGTATGGGTCACTGAGTAATGCGCAGGTAACGGAATCATGGAGTGGTGTACCCAGTTTTCGCGGACACGCAGCATGCACTTAATTAATTTCGACAGTCGTATACGTTATCTCATCTACCAGGTATATATACAAGTATAAAATAATCGTGTGCGATTTGATAAGAAGTCTCAAAAGAGTTAAACAACACTATATACATCGTAGTCGTCGTCGTTACATCACGGACGTGCGTGGGTGTGTGATGCAGTAATATCGCGGATGGTAAATATTCGCGAGAGTTACCATACATTGTGTTATTATTATTGTTTATTCGCACACGGGTCGTACACGGTGTGCAGTCTGGAGCCGATCCGTCCTTGAGGTTTTTTATTTGGCGATCGAAATAATAATAGTTACAATAACATACAGAGAGAGAGAGAGAGAGACTATACAAAAACGTAGCCATACATTGTATTATATGTATAATATATACATTATAAACATATTATTATCAATTATATAAGTTCACATAACGCAACACGGAAAAAACAAAACAGCTGTTTGTACTATAAAAATAGTAGGATTTACTTTACATTACAATTGCTAGAGGGATAGCTATAAGGTTAGTCAGATTTACTAAAATATCATAGTCAAGTTATTATAGTTATTCGAACTGAAATATGCTTTTTTAACTATATTTTGTAATTAATTCAAACATTAAAAACTTCGTTAACTATAAAATATAGTAAACGTTACCATAAAAACTAACTTTATTTATATAGTCATAATAAGTAAATCATTTTAGTTATTTTACCTATTAAATAGTTATATCTACTATAATTTGTTCAACTATAATATTATAGTAATGTTTTTTTCCGTGTGAAGAGTATAATATATATATAAACATATTTTATATATTAAATGATACGAGTAGGACTTTGGTATAGATTGTAGGTATATCTGCACGCGCGGGCTAAAAATAATACGCAGTCAAATCTCGGAGTGACTCAACCTTGACAACTGGACGAAATCCTCGACAAACGAAAAAGAATTACCTCTACACAGATTACAGACACTCGAGTGACCAATATCACAAAACACTGAAACACGTCTTTACGCTCTTTCAACAACAACAATATAACGTCATTACAAATCATAATATTATTACTCACACCGATCGTCCTGGAACAAAACACTCGGGTGCCACTTGATTAATACCGCAAACCGAATTAGAAGCCGTGTGCGCATGCGTTGGTATAGTTGATTGATTTATGTTTTACATAAATTCAAATAGATGAATAACAAGGATATGCGACATAATTTATTTTCGCGTACTCGCAGATTATCGGTCTATAATATTATAATACAAAGAGTAAGTGCTTCAAATTATCGAGATATGGGTCCATCCACGGTGTATGATCTGAATTCTGAGTGTAATTAAGACGTGAACCCAGGTTTGGCATCTGACAATAAACAACCCTTGTGATGATATGAATTATTAAAATAATAAAACACATAACGTTTACACGGTGCAGACGGTGTTCCACCGCAAGCAAGCTCGCATCCATATTGGCTTAAAAACATTTAGATTAGTCTTTATTAGACATTAGTCTTGGCTCAGAATCGTTTTTCTCGTGGGGACACAATGATTTTATATCATTGAATTCAAATTTAATACTTCCGTTTCGGTGACCCACACGATACCAATAATCAACAGCAGAGCGGTATCCGCCTTTTATTATAGTTAGAAATTGTAAATTCTTGTGATAAGTTGACAAATTTTTGAGATTCAAGAGCAAAACTAGTATACTGAGATACTACCGAAGCAAAACTGTACAATACTTAGCTAAAAAAAAAAAGTTATTAGCTACAACTGTCCACGTTTAGCTTCTTACTGTGTACAATGTACAAAATCCAAATAAAGCGATATTTCCAAACACTGATTTGTACGTATCTTTATCGTGAAAATAATATTATATTATGCGTTATTATTGCATATTGTGTATTATAATTTATATTTTACGGTGTTGATAGTTTTTTTTTATATATATTTTTCACCACGGTATACTCGTATTTGTTATTTTTTTATCATTTAATAATATTCTTAATATTTAGGTGGACGTCTGTACATAAATAAATTTAAACCGACATGAAATACCATAGACATTTTAGATTACAGTTGTTATTTAGTGTAGTAATTATAAAAGACCATAAGGCTTATTGCAAATGTATATAACTACGCAATATAAAATAATCGATATTTGAGTATTTGCGTGCGTGTTATCACTTGTCTTGTCTTATCAAATCTTATTTATAACTAACTGGATGTCACTTTTTGCTTGCACCTTTAATTATTGATCTGCCGACTGCAGACAACTCGAAGACGATGACACTCCGATCTGTCGTTAAAAGTTTCCTTAGTTGTGTCCTGTAGGATGTTTGACGTGTAATAATTTTCGAGACGTTTTTGAAGACGTATTTTGTGAACTGCGATTATGCAGGAATCAAAAATCTCTACAAACACCGAGGATCAACATGTTGGCAAAATTCGTAAATAGGTACTTGTTTTTTTACTTTATTTTTTTCAATAACAGTTTTCATTAAATCTGCCTACATGTAGGTACCTAAATCCTTATAAATATCGGTTCTATAGCAGAATAACTCAAAGTTCTAGTATTCATTCAATTGCATTCTCCCGTTCGTTTTTTAACTTCTTATTCAGTGCCATTTTATACTAAAATACAACGCGACCTTATAGCATATAATAAATATTACGTATACATACCATGTCAATTATTTTATTGAAATTTAGGTCAATCGCCATTATATTTTGACCACTAATATAGTACCTATTATATTGTAATACTCGATAACGGTGCGATTTTCGTTGATAAATAATATTAGTATTCTTTATTGTCCATCTCATTATTCCAAACAGAAATATTAGGTATGTCAGTAAATGTAAAATAACACGTAATATATGTATAATTATATAAAATGTGTATAATATTATATACTATTATCATACTGCCACTGTACCACTGTTTCGGTTACGAATGGTTACTAATTAGTTACTAAATAATGGAACCGATTTCGAAGAAAATAGTTTGGGTTGTGGTGCTAGTGTAACGAACCTCCAAAATCTTACAGTCGCGTACTCTATATCGAATATGTTATAATATTATCGCCCTTTACGGGTCATTCGTCTACATAAAAACAATATAACAAATCAATAAAATACTGCAGCTGTATACGACGTGTCTACAATAATATAATTTTATATAGGTGCTCATTATAGCCATATACATACGACAGGAACAGTGTACACGACGACCGGTGCCACTCAATAGCATACATTTCTGTATCGTGTGCACTGTAGAATGATTATTTAACGTACAACATCCATATTATATACTATAATATATTCAGTCAGTTTTGGTGTTTTACATATTACACATATTTATTAGTGTTTACAAAGTGCGATTACACATAACGTGAAAAAAAAATTTGTATTTGTTGCG